AGAGGAACGACACTGCTAGTATAGTATGCAATCACCCATGGTCACAAGTGATGAGGTCATTAATACCTGACCTGAAGTGATGTAGAATATAATAGTGGGAATGATTAAGAAAAAAAATTAGTATCGTTCTAGAGTTCAAGTTAAGATAACATCAGTTTCGAAAAATATTTTGGTGCTACTGACAGTGTTGCTGGAAGAGTTCTACAGAAGATTGATCTTGACAGAAGACATTGTTACGTGAAGATAATCTTCTGGACGCACCACAAGAAGCAGGACCTTATCATCAATGTGGTAGAGTCATTGAAGAGAAAAGAAACTATAATTTTATATATCATAAAAATAGACCGCACGCTATAGTGTAAACATCCCGGCAGACCGTATACTATAGTAGCACCGAAACAACTGATTAAAGTGTAAACATCCCGGCAGACCGTATACTATAGTAGAACCGAAACAACTGATTAAAGTGTTATTTAAAATGTGATAATTTTTCTCTATACGACCTAAAAATCCCATGAATCGATCTCTCACCTATATTTACGACGATTGTAACAAAATAAATTTATAATCACGCTATCCAATTTTTAAAACTCAAATTCAAAACGGCTATAAGAGAGAGAGAGAAAAAATCTTACTGGAAACCCAGGTCTTCCAGGTGGTCCTTCGGGTCCCTGCAGAAGAAACAACAAAAAAAAGTGTTAAAATGTTGTATATTACCTACATAGTACTTCTTGTTAAGTTTAACACTTATTTCAAGTATGATTAGAACGTGGTTAACACGAGGAATGAAAAATGTGATTCCTGGCCCAATGCTGGGGCGCATCCATGGGGAGTGGGGTGAGCAGCTTCCCATATAAGACTCAGTGCCCCCACTCCCTCCCGATATGTACTGTTTAGAATTTTTTAATTCTCTACATAGTGACTTCTACTGACATCAAGGTGTTAATCTTTTCCATCTTATACCTTCCCAAATAAAAGATCACAGAAACGTCACGGTTCAATGTAAGACTGCTTGTCGTCTTTTGTTTCATTCTGAAAGTTAAACATTATTATTTCTTATTTCCCCCCCCCCCTTCCATTAACCTTACTAACATATGTAACGTAAGAGCACTTGATCGTGAACATAATTTTCCCCCTATTAAC